GATAAGTCTGCAGTATAATACATTTTTTGGTTCCTTCCAATCTATTCCTGTAAAACTCAAAGACGTGCCCCTGTAAATGAACAGGAACGTGGCTCATTCAAGCAAGTTTTGTTCAACTAGCTTAGCAAAATATGTGGAACCAATCAACTTTCTCTGAGTTGTGCAAAAAACAAAGGTTGCAAATGTTAAGTTCCACTGGATCTACAGAGACACCCACCAGTTACCAGGAGTGCTGACAAAGCCTGGTCAGCAAGGAGACAGAAGTTGCTCACCTTCAAATTCACAACAAAAAAATAAAGCCCCTTTTATCAATATGCCTAGCACTTGGGACTATTCTTAGCTGTCGGGGTAGAAAAGTGAGAGACCAGCCCGTCAATTCTGAAGCATGGCTACTTCTGTACTAATGCCTCCGTGTCAGATTCCCCGGACACCTACCTTTCTGACGTCCATCTCCAGTACAGATCTCTTCCCTCCAATGGGACAGTTCTGGATGTAGCAAGCCGAAGAAAAAGCGAGCAGTGAAAGTAAGCAGAAAGTTAACATATTGTAAGACATATTGGCAACCGCTGCTGGTTGTCGTTTTGATAGAACTGCAAGGGAAAACTCGTCCGGATTTCTTCTTTGATCGCCACCAGCATTTATACTGATGAAAGGCCTGCGTAGGCATGGCATCAGCCGTGTTACTCATTTCTCTTAAAAAGCACAAGACATTGCTCTTCATGCCAGATGTCTCATCTAATATGCCAAGGTCGCAGGCGTGAGGTCAATAAAATATGGACAATTTGCTTTTGCGCATTTTTCCTCTAAACTAGGGGAAAGATATATCAAAGGCCAAGTCTCAAGAAGTCATGGACGTCATTGGGGACGAGCAAGTGGATACTTTTCTTTGTACTTTCAAGAGTTCTGAATGGAGAAGACTAGTTAGTGTCTTCCTTAATGAGACTCTGGCTTGACCTCAGTTTGAGGAGTTGGGATTTCGGTTCCCCAAATGCTCAACCAGCAGGACCAAGGTAACATAAGAACATGAGCAGTGTCCTGTCGGATGGGACCCCTGGCCCATCTGGTCCAGCAGTCTGTTCTCCCAGTGGCCAACTAACTACACAAGGAAACCCATGAGTCTCCCAGCAGATGGCCTTCAGGGGCAGCCCCGCTACCATGAAGGCTAATAGTTATTGATCTCAGGACTTTCATGAATTGGTCCACCCATTTTTGAAGCCAACCACCACATCTCATGGTAAAATATACTTTCCTTGGGAATTCTGGATCTAAACATTCGTGGGTGTCAGATCCTATCCACGTATCAACTACTTCCCTTATGGAGTGCATGATGCACGTTCCAACCTATTGTGTTGTCTTCTCCTTAAAAAAATCCCCACCTGGGAATTCAATTCCAAAGAGAAAAGGTGTTTTGCAAGGGACATGGGTGATCTCATTGCATCCTGTCAAAGAAGGTGCAATTTTAGCTACCCATCCCAGGAAAATATACATTTGAATTAATCTTCCCCCCCCCCAATTAGGCATTTTAAAGAAAGAATATGTACAAGAAGAAATAAAACACATGTAGAAGAAATAAAAAAGCAGGGTAAAGATAGTGGAATAGAATAAGCAAACAAGGAATCTAAATGTATTGTTGAAGGCTTTCACGGCCGGCATACGATGGCTGGTGTGGGTCTTCCGGGC